TTTCGTATATTTTGTATTTTTTCCGTGGCTTCTTTTGCCTTTTCAGCGCTGTCAAATTGTTTTCGTCAACATTGCAACTGCCCAGATCCATCATTACCGGACGGGCTGTGGCCAGACCAGTGAATTCCGGCGAAAAAAGTCATCCGCAGAAATAAATTTAAGAGATTGTCAGGCACACTGAAAACTGTTTGGGTGACTTCAATTTAAATGTGAGTTATTAGTTGTATTACCTTAAAAAGATTTACAATTTAAGAAATGTAAAGAAAACTACGTGATTACTATTAGATTTTAAATAACGTTAACGGCATTAAAAATATATTATAGATCGTGTGGTGAAATGAAAACACATTCTCACAAACTAAAATATCTGGTGTTACTCAATACTTCAATTGAGTGCATTTCTTTCAGTGCACAAACAAGAATTCGGAGACTCGGGCTGAGTTATGCTCCCCTTTCGCCGGACTTCAAAGTCAGTTGTCGCCGAGCAAGAACAACAAATACAATGGCAGCAGCTTTTCTGCTTTTCTGTGTTTCTGTTTTTCTGTTTTTCTGTATTTTGTTGTAGTTTGTTGGATTTTATCCTCCTGACATTATCAGCGTTAAGTCGTTTCAAATGCCGCCCTGATGGATTTCTCAGGCCCCTGTGCCTTTTGCCATAATTACAATGCAAACAGAGCGCTCTTCCGTCCCGCTCCCGCTTCCCGCTTCCCGCTAGTGCCATCTCGCTCCGGCGGACGTAACCAGGTAGCCAGGTAGCCAGGGAAGAGCAACAACAACAACAAGCCGGCGCTTGGCATTTGCGGACCGCGTTCCGATAAGAACGAGCGCTGGGTTACTTTCTTATCAGAAACGCCCGGCGGATTAACTCGGCACTCAGCACTCATTTTCTTGGGCCGCAACTTTATGATTTTCCAGCTGATAGCCAGCCGAATGCAAACACATTAGCTGTTGCTTTTATCTATTCGTTGATGAAGAAAAAAAGAAAAACAGGGAAACAGAAGAGGAGAGCACAGAGGCAGAAATGTGACCTTTGGGAAGCCTCTGTGGCATCCACAAAATAGTTGAGCAGTTTAGTTCGGTGTTCGAGTGCTTTCCTCCCTTTGTGGCGATTTCCCCAATCAAGTGCGGCTAGATATTGACAGTGCGATATCGGGTGATATGATATAGTTGCCTCGCCCGCCTAAGGTTAAGTCATGCGGCCCACATACTCATAGGCGTATGATACATGTGGCCGATACGGAACGATAAGCCGCCATAAAAAGTCAGTTTGCGGCATTCCTTTGGGCTCCAAAGAATTCTGTATCGTTCACCTGGAACTGGTTGCTGGGCACTCCTAATGGGTTCTGATTTTCAAAATCAAACAGTTTATTGTCGCCATCGTCGAAGTTGCTTTATGGTCGCCGTCTTCGGATGGCGGCCCTCTGTGAAGTCTTATTTGCTTTTGGGGCTCTCGGCTCTTGGCTCTCGGAGTTTCGTTCGCCGGCTAATGCCTTGCTCAAATATTTACAATTACTTTGCATAGAGTCCGCCTCGCTTCGTCACCGAACTTGCTTCCAGATCTTCCCAGAGCCAAGAGGAGTTGTTGGATACGGAATACGGTCGCCAGGAAGGGGAAACCAAAGGAAAGGTTCGTCGATGGCCATCTGAAAAGCAGCCACCCCTTCAGTGGGGCGCACTTTCAATTAATTTACTTGTAATTGTCGCTTGACGAGCACTTTGCTGGCCTTTGATCGCAACGCCCTCGCCCACCAAAAACCAGGCAAACATCGGGCAAACAAACAGGCGGGCAGGCAAACAAACAGACAAACTGAAGGAAAGATAAACTGACAAGCTCTTGGTGTTGCCTCTCGATCACGGAGAGTGGAGAGTGAGGAGTGGAAAGTGGGGGTTGGGGGTGGAGAGTTGGGAGTGGAGAGTGGGGAGTGGGGGTGGAGAGTTGGGAATGGAGAGTGGGGAGCACCGCCGACCTTCTCGGTGGGGTTTGTTTGCATTTGATGTCTTCCCGACGACACCTCCTCCCCTTTCCTCTTCGGGGGCTTCTCCTATCACAGCCCACAGATAAGGGGAACCACTCGCAGTATCGTTCAGATACAAGGCAACCATCTCCCGCCAACCAGATCGACTGACTTGCCAATATCCAAGGGCTTTTCTACCATCAGCATTTATGAGAGAATGGAATAGTGTGTGCCCGCCCAGGATATGAACTTCCTCGCCGAGTAAACTTCCATTCGTTTGATGTGATCTGAGCACTTTATGCGTATAAAGATACGTATCTGCTGCGATCTGCGATCGCTGTGTAAATACAGCCGGATAGCTGAGGCTGCTGCTTTGATGCCTTTTATTGCCGCTCGGCGATGATGTGGCTGCCGCTGGATTCTCTTTGATTTCTGTGTACGTACAGCCTTCAGTCGCTTTGATCTGCCCCATGTGCTCGTTGCTTCCGATTCGATTTGTTCGGTGTGCTGGCCTCTTTTTCGGGGGCAGCCCTCCTGCTTTCGTTTTTATTGCCACTTGAGGCTTGGCCGCGTTTCGTTCATTGTTCATGGGTCTCTCTTCTAAACAACGAATGGAATGGAGGAGCAGTGGAAGCAAGCGAGGGACCCACGAAAACCACGGAAACCCGCTTCCAGATCGGACAATGCATCTTATTTTCTCGTTTTTCCAGCGCCTCGATGAAACAAAGTAGGCGGCAACGCGCTCGGCAGCCGCCCCACCAAAGTAATAAAAGCACAAAAGACCAGAGTACTCCGAAGATGGAGCAGCACCGCCAGTGGTGCCACAGGCAGTGGATACAAGGTACAAGAAAGTGATTGCCACATCTCATGCTTCTCGTCAAAGAATGTTGCATGGGAGAAATCATTGAAGGTCAGATAGCAGCAGCTATGCACTCTGTGTTTGCATTTGAGCCCCCAAAAGTAGCCAAATCGGTAGGAATATGGTCGAGATATGGTCGGGATATGGTCGAGTCTGCCATCTCCGATGCCGCACTCATGCCGCATCCACATCGGAAAAACAACAACAACGCGTCATCGACATTTGCCTCTCCATCCAAAACGGGGAATCGGGAATGGGCATGAAGTGCAAGATGCGCTCAAAGGAAACCGAGCCGCGCTCCCAACGAAAGGTGCTAATGGACCCGACTCCGAGCCCAGAGACACCAACACACAGCCGCCTGGTGTGGCACACACAAATACACACACACACACAGACTCCCATTGAAGCCAAACCCAAAACCCAAAACTCGTAGCCGAAACCGATGCGTTTGTTCCACACACCGGGAAAATAGATCGACTCACTTTCGAGGTGGAAAGGTATTTCCCCTGAATGTATCTCGTATCTCGTTCCTCTACACAACCTATGCTCCCTCCCTTTTCCAACTTACATTTTCGCTCAGTGCACTCTCCCCAGCGGCGGCTCTTTCTTCTCGCCCATTTGTTCCTTTCTCCCTTTGTCGCCGACACAATCGCAATGGCAATCCCAATCGCAATCCCAATCGCACAGGTCTCCTGGCCAACAACAAACGTCTTGTGGCTCCTCGAGATCCTAGCCAAGTGGCATGCCGCTCTGTCTTTCAGTCGTTCTGCCTTTCTGTCCCTCGACGGCTCTTCGCACGCACTGCGCGGCTACTCAGCGGTTTTCATGGGCTGTTTTCACGGTAAATTATGGACCGAGATGACCTCGAATGTTCGGGCCGCAGCCTATTTGGACATGCCGCCAACTAGAATACCTCGGAGTTAGTTTCAGAGCCTTTCTCTGAGTTCTAGAGTAACTCGCTTTGCAGGAAACGTAATTATTTACGAGCATAAGCGCGTCCTTCTGGGATTGCTTCAATCACTTTGACTGGAGAGCGTCGAGTTGCCTCCCCCTTCATTGGAAAGCAATTAGATATCGCTGCTCCGACTTCCTCCGACTGATAACAGTGCGTCTTATTTGTCTGCCGGCCTTGTTGCCCCTTTATCTAGATACAGCTCTCGAGTACAGAAAACACAATCAGCGCAGCGGGCGGCACTCAAAACTGACTTGGAGGCGAAAAAGCGAAGAAGTACGGCTGGAGTTTCGGAACTGGAACTTACGAATGCAGACTCTATTTCGTAAACTCATAATTTCCATAATGCTCTGATTTCGAAAGTGACCCCGATTAGATACGGGTTGTGAAATGTTTTAATTCGGTGAGGAGATAAGTGGTTCAAATGCCTTTCGTTCTATTCGAAGTAGTGAAATTGTACATAAAGGGTTATCACTCCACTTACAGAAGGCTATCACAAATTAAAATGCAATTCGCCCCGAGAAACACAATGATTATCAAAGGAGAACCCTCGAAGGATCCCAAATGACATTTTTGCTTGCTGTATTCCTGTTCCTCTCCTTGGCTTTGTGTCTATCTGAGATCTCAGAAAGCCTTACTTTGATGAGCTGCCGCCCTCCGAAAGTCCCCCAAAACATCCCCACGTACCCGTCATTCAAACTTTGAACGTTTCGCAAGAGTTTGTGACTTCCCAAAAGTATCTCTGCTGCTAGCCTGTTGGCTGTTGCCTGTTTGGTTGTCACTTGCCAAGATTGTAGGCAATACTCTTCTGGAAAGTATTGTGACTTCAATGAGAAGTTACTCCATTCCCAGTAGTTCACATTTGAACGCATTGCGTATTGCCAACATTTGACTCGACTGATTGATTAAAAAGTCACCATTAAGTGTCTATTAGGATCTGAGAATCCTTGACTGGTTAACTAGTAGTTAGTAGCTAGTAGCTCCTAAAAACCGAAAACCGAGTGTATTCTGGCTTTTCCCCTCTTTCCATTTTGAGTCGCTGCCGCAGCTTTTATTTTGTTTTTCGCACGTAGCGACGAGAATTGTTTTTATGGGCCACACAAAGCCGGGCTTATCGGCATCGTGGGATCGCGGAGACCGGGACGTGCCTTCTGGCCTTCCAGCTTTCTGGCCTTCTTGCTTCTGGCCTTCTGGCCCATATGCATGGAGGGGATGCAAGGGAAGGGGGCCTTACCTGGAGCTCAGCCTCCAGCTGGTTGGTGTGGCCCGCCAGGTTGGGCAGCGCGGTCATGTTGTAGCCGAGGCCCTGGCAGGCGGAGACGGAGATCCTCTGGCACTGCAGTCCATTGGGGCCCACTGCGGACGGCCCGTTCTGGCCGGGAGTGCTGGCCCGGGCCAGGATCGGGAGAAGGATCAGGATGGGGATCGGGATCGGGGAGAGGGTCTGGCTGGTGGCGCACATGGTTGTGGTGGTTGTGGAACCGGGACACTGAGTGGCTGCTTCAGGGGGTCATCTCGTTCGACCCTCCGGGGGTTTCTGTTCAAGTCAAGTTCACTCGCGGACACGTAAAAAAAATTGCAGTGGATTGGATGGTCTGCAGCTCCAAATTCAGTTTCAAATTCAGCTTCGAATTCAGCTCGAGCTTCGATTGTTTTGGCCTCGGAGGTTGGGTTGCGTACTTCTGGCTCAACAAACTCAAACACCCGCGGAGAAAGTGCGTTAACCTGACCGCTCGACTTCGGTCTTTCGAACAAACTGACGGCGCCGCTCGCCGGTCTTTGGGTTTTGTCCGCCGAAGGGAGATCCAACTTGTTCGGATCCAACTTGACTTGGAACAAGTTCGATGACGGTGCCATATGCCCATGCGAGTATATCCATTCATCCGGCAGTCGGGTGGGTCCAATGCCTAATGAAGACAGATCGCGTCGAAGGGGAAATACAGTGAAACCCGGTCGGAAGATGTCTCCCCGAGGATCGCAGTTGCGGAACAGGATGAAATATGGTTATAGGCCGAGCTTCGAATCGGAGGGAAAGACATGGAGACGTGGGAGTTCGATACTCTACGAATCATTTGTTCTAGTTCTGTTTTGGGGAATCGAGAAGAATCGCTTGCGGAACCCAGAAACTCCTGATTTGCAGCAAGAGGATTGCCTTTCGGACCACCAACTTGGTTTGATGGGTTCCCGGATTGGGTTGGAGGCATCGCCAGAGGACCGGCAGGTGAGCCGTGCTCCCTGCGAGCAACTGCGGTGCCATCCGACCGGAGCGTCGATCGGTTCGACACACTGAAAAAAATGGTCATGGAAAACAATATGTAAGCCTCCAAATAATCGAATGTACTCGAAGGTGCTTGTGGTTTCCTTGGCCGAGCAATCATTGTGATGTTACCTCCTCTGTTCGGGGGTCAATTGCCCACCCGTTTCTCCGAGTGTAAGGCGAGGAAACTCGATCGGCGACGTCGACCAACCGCAACAGCAACATCAAACAGAACGAACGAAGGCGGCACAGGCGGATGGTTGGATTGCTGGCTGGGGAGATGGTGAGGTAAGGGGATGGGGGGATTGGGGGGCTTCAGGTGGACGGTGTGCTGGCAGGGGTGGCACTGCAGGAGGATGAGGTGGATGCAATTGAACACCGCGACCTTCACACGCTGCAAATGTCGGCGTCGGCGATCTTTGATGTGTGCTTTGATTTCCGGCAGCCAGATAAGATTTTGCTCATCCCCTGCGTCCCCTTCAGCCGACTCCCCCTTCCCCTTCCCCTCCCCCTTGGCCCCCCACTCGGAGCCCCTTTCAGTGGTTTTCCTGGGTGCCGTGCAGAAAAAATCAGAAAAGCAGATCAAAACGAATTGCTGCAAATTTTGTTGTGGATCTTGGACCTTCGCGAGTTCGGGAGGTTGACGCATTAGATCGGGTTGGTGGCCACCTGTTTTGCTTGATATTATTTTATATTTATGTAACTGCATCAGTGTGGAAAAAAGCTCTTGCTTACTCTGAAAAAATATATCCACAATTTTAGATGTTTAATACAATTCGGGTTTCGGGTGTGCTACTTGTGTATAGCTTCGCCACAATGCTTACTCCTCCAATTCGAAGTGCCCAACAACAACAACAACATCAACAACAACAACATCAACAACAACAACGAATAACAACGATAGCAATAGCAATAATAAAGGCACTCGAACCACTTGGCGATCTCGAGCGGTCCACGATCTTTAGATCAGCGATTGTCATCGCGCCTAATCCCCCATGTAAGTAGTGCCCAAAAAGGCGGAAAGAGATGGCCTATCCCTGTGCTGGATGGAGGAGCGAAAGGAAGGGAAGAGCAGACCGCTTTGTTTGTTTGTTTTTGTGCTGTTGATTCTCGAAATCCGCCAGTTGTTTAAAAATTTGGTGCGCACGTAAAAATATCATCAAAGATTTGAAGCGAAGTGGGAATGGGAATGGGAATGGGAATGGGATTGCGATTGGGAACAGCAGCGGGAACGGGAACGGGAATGGGAACGGGAATGGGAATGGAGCGGAGTGTATGGGATGGCTGAATGGATGGATAATAGCTAATGTAAGCACTTGCTCTTGGCCTTCCCTCTCCCTCTTCTCTCCCTCTCCCGTTGCCTATCCCTTTCCCTCTTCTTTTGTTTACCCAAAACTCAAACCCCACTCGGCTTTTGTGTTTTTTTTTTGTTCAGTGCTCAAGAGTGTTTCTGTTAAGTGAGGATCACTTGGGACCGGAGGAGATTAGTCCAATCGTGGTGATCCGTGGCGATCCCTTCGGATCCCAGATATAGGAAGCGATCCAGAGAACTGAAGGAACTGAACTTCCAAAGTGGATAGTTGGGTAGTTGGGCTGTTGCCAACTGGGTTGGTGGTTTCTGCAACTAGTTTCTGGAGCCGGTGACCAGTTTTACGTCCTGCAACTCGAGGTGACACCTTCAATCATTTTCCCGACTTCAAAGCGGCGCCGCTCAAAGAGGATTCGCTCAGCCGTAAAGCGCTGTCAACATGGAAAACGATCATATTTTCCACGCCGTCTCTCTTTTGCCATTTGCCATTTACCATTTACCATCCGCCATTAACCGTTTTCCTTTTGCGTTTCCCAGCGATCGCTTGACTTTGATTTGTTTGCGCTTTTCCGCCGATGTTTGACAAAGATATGCGGGTTAATATTTAAGTATGTGTGTGTGTGTATATGTATTTATACGATCGGTTGGTGGTCGGGATGTCCGACATGAGTCACCACCCACAAGCGAGTCCCACGGACACGGACCCAGCTGGTGCTGCCAACTCTCTTTCGGCCTTGCGAGTGTGCCATTAACTAGTTTTCTGGTCGGCCGAGTTCAAAAGCGCTTATTAATCTCTGGTACTTGTGTTTAGTACTTTTAAATACGTTTTGAGTACTTTATTCAGTACGCTTGATGTTTTGCCGCCGCTCCAAGTCACGATGTTTGCTCTGCTCCCCCCATTCCCCATTCCCCTTTCCCCTCCTCTCCTCTCCTCTTCATTCCTCTCCCCTCCACTCCGCTGTTTGCTCTCTGCTTTTTGCTCTTGCTTTGGCTTTGGCTTTTGCTTTTGCTCTTGCGAATTGGACGCGCGTCAATATTTATTTTATTTATCTTCTCGGTTGCCCAGCTCACGGATGTTCAAGGTGGGAGGATGGGAGATGTTGGGATGGGGAATTGGGGTTTACAGAGAAAATAAAGAGGGGTGCCAAAAAGCAAACAAATGGTAAGCTCCAAGTGAAGTGTGTTCCAAAATTGTTCAAAGGAATCCTCTTCTGAACTCCACTCTTCTTGAATGAGATCTCCAAGTCGAGCAGCCACCGCTGATTTCTCTCCGTGTAGCGGCTCTGTGGACTTGCACGCCCTCCGAACTGGCGCCCGGCTCGCCTGCAACCCAATCCGCCCATCCGCCCGACGACTCCCAGCGGTACTCTCCTGCCAACTCTTTTATTTCCCGCCCGTTTATTTGCCTTTCTCGCAGAAGCCATAGGAATAATGCGATAATTACAATGCCGAGAATCGCTCGCTGGCCGGGGACGCCGTGTGAATTACCGCGGCTCAGACTAAAGGCCTCTAAAGTTACTCCCTCCCAAGCGGGTGGAAAAGGGGGAAGCAGAAGGAAGGGAGGGGGGAGTGGGGGTAGTGCCTGCACTGCCTACCAAAGTGAGTTGCATGGGATTATCCTGCTTCTTCAGTTACACCACCAGCAACATAAATCTCCATTTGAAAGTGCGCTCGTCGGTGGCAAGAACGCGAAAGTGATTACTCGACGGCCAAATGGGGACGATGGGGAAGGGGCACCCGCGATGCAAGGGGGCTTCCAAACCAATTAAAGGCCAAACCCTCCCAGCCGAGCTACGAACGTGGTGCTCCTTCAAAACAATGTTTACACCGCCGATAGGCGGCAATCGGGAATCCAATACGCAGGCGCGGAATACTGGCGCTAATTCCGCGGAGGGGAGCCGCACAACAATAAACTCCGGCCAGACAATAAAACACATAAAACCCCAAATGCGAAATCCGAAATGCGAACTCCCAAATGCGAAATGTGAAATGAGGAGTGCAGAAAGTGGCGGGCAGAATGACGAAGGGCAGAGCTTATGAGATCCTTTGTGCCCTAGACATTCGTCTCTGAGGATTCTCGGCGGGAAGGGCGCACCGGGAGTAATTTGCCATATCCTGGCGGAAGGAGGGAAGGGAGGGGAAATGGGCGCAGGGAGCGGCGGCGAAAGATGAAAGCCGCACTGGGGTGCTAATAAAGTTGCCCCGCCGCAGAATAATGAACTCCGGGGAGAAGCCCCTTTGGATTTTCCCTGCCCCGTGTAGGTGCTAATTTAGCGACCCCACAGAGATACGAACTCGCATTCGAGGACGACCGCCGCAGCACTTCCATTTTCAACAGAAATGAACCTCAGATAAGGGACTAAATGTCAAAATTATCAGCACACTGGAGCCCCGACCGAGTTAACCCATGGTGAAGGTGTCCTCTCGAAGAGTACAGATCCCCGAGTGGAGAGTACAGATCATGAACACGACTCAGAAACACTCCTTGGAGCATGACCCATTGGGTTGAATCGTAAATGGCAATGCACTTGCAACATTGAATCAACTGGCTGTCACGGGAATATTTCATTTATTTCCTTCCAACCCAGAAGCCAGAACCCAGAAGCCGAATCCCCATGGGTTAAAGCCTTGATTCGGCTCAGACTGTGTGCCTTGCTGACTGCAGATCAGGGGGAGATCAGGGGGAGATCAGCAGGGCGGAGGGGCGAGCTCAAAAAGCGGAGCACATGGGACCGGCAAAGTGCAAATATATGTTGCCAGACCACAAGAGCCGGGCCCAAAGCCGAGAGCCAAAGGAAGGCGGGCCAGAACCATAGGAAAACCAAAAACAAAAAAAAAAAAAGGAAAGAAAAAGAAAAGAAAAGAGAAGAAAAAACGGGTGAGTGGATCGCCTTACCTCGAGATGCCAAAGTGCATCAGGCACTAAAACGCAGAAAATTGAAACAGGCTTTTAATGAAATGAAAGCGCCGCAAGAGATGAGATGCGCGGCTGGTTGGATACCGAATGCTTGCTTGCCGGATGGCTGCATTGCTGGATTGCCGCACTGGTGGATTGCTGGAGTGGTGGACGGATCGGTCGGATCCATCGGAGGGCCATCTATCTGGAGGCAGGGCTCGCCGAGGTGGCAAACGAGAGCGAGTGAGCGCTCAGAAATAAGGCAAAACAAAGCGAACACAAAGAGTCAATTAATTAGTAGATGGATCCGCGATTATCGCTATATTAACATTGCGCCGCATCGCTGCAGTTGAAGGCGCAGTTGAGGCTCACTGTGGCAAAACAGTGTGCTTTCCTGGCAGATGCTCGTATGTGGATCTTTTGGTCAGGAGGATCCACTCGCCACACTCCTTAGAGCATAAAAACAACGCAAATGGACTTTCAAACGGACCTACCAAAACCAAGCAACCTTGCAACAGAACAGAGGAGAAGGGAACGTTTGAATCCACATGGGAATATCGTTCGGACCCGCATTATCTCGCAGTGCAGGGTCCGTGGCTCGAGAGTGGTCTTCCTTTTACTTAAGATAAGGCGGGGAATGGAAGCTGGGCGTTCATTAAATGATAAGCGAGCGACGGCGGCTCCGGGTGATAAGGCCATTTGAATTAACCCGCTCGGACAGGTAAGCGGATCGCAGCCATCCCATCTGTGGCATCCAGCCGGTGGAGTGGTGGTGTGGTGGAGTGGTGGTGTGGTGGAGTGGTGGAGTGGGGGGGCACCTAATGGCCCGGGACCGGGGATTCCGAGGATTCCCAGGGAGACCGACAGAGCGGCAGCCGAGGGGCAGAAACAGAAGCTGGGAAGCTGGGAAGCCGCGAAGCCGGGAGAGAAATGATTTAAGTACACGCAATCCTTGTGGCGCCACGGCGGGCAGCACTCGTCGGAGGACGAGTCCTCGAAATTTATGGTGCAATTTGCTGCAAAACGAGAAGGAAATGGGAACACACACCGCACGGCCATTCGTTGAATAAATCAATTTGTTTTCCCAGTGTCGGTTTTGGTAATGCAAATTGCGGCTTCGATCGGTTATTACGTTTATAAAGGCTAAACTGGACGAGTTTTGATCAGCGGTGCAAGAGCATGTGGCCCAGGGGATCATATACATATATTATTTTAATATTACTTTTAATACTTCTTTCCGATTTCAGTTCAAATAGATTCTTATGGTTGTGGCCAAGCGTCTTGCAAAAATTGTGTTTTTAGGCAACTCTTTCCTGAGCCGATGACTCAAGTTCGCAGATCTCCTTTCCAGCTAAATGGAGCTTCGAGTCCATAAAAACCAAGTCCTAAAAAACAACCGAGCAACAACAACAACAACCGAATAGAGAGCAGAACACAAAATCGAAAGCTAAGCCCCGCTTTGCATGCGACCCATCGCCGTAATGGAGATTATAAGCTGCAGGTTGAATCATGATCGTGGTTGGGGCAAACTGTGAGAGAGGAGAGGGAAGAGGAGAGCGGAGCGGGAGAGGAAGAGGGAGAGGGAGAGAGCCAGGAGGAGCAGAACACATGGAGCGGGAGCAAAACGGCAGCCAAGCGGGAATCGTTTTACGTCTTCTGCGAAATATTCATTACAGCAAATTTGTAAAAACACGCTGAGGGGCGGAATAAAAAAGGAAGTGCACTGTGGAAAACGTAATAATCTCCCAAATAAATGAGAAAAAACAGAGAGCATCCCTCTATGCTATCGTCGTCATGAACATTCAAGCGGAAGGCCCAGTTTTTTTTCGCGTGTATGGGCGCCCAAGGAGAGGAAGATGAAACATGACTTCGCCTCCGACTCCCTGGATCCCCCATCCCCCATCCCCCATCCCATCCTTCTCCTACTGTTTCTTCCTCTGTTCCGTGCCCAATGCGGCTTTTCTCCTTCGCAAAATGATCTGTGGTGCTATTATGCATTATGAGGCCTAATGCGCACAGTTCCTGTGTCCAAAGGAAAACGCGGAGGAAACATGGGAGAAAAACTGGGGAGTGGGGCAGATCCGCTCCATTTGTGTCCCAAAGCGCTTATAGATCGGATGGGGCGATGAGATGGAAAGTCATTCGAGAATTTCCCCCAGTATTCCCCATGATTGAGAACCAAGAAAATGAAACAGCGGGAAAACAATGCGGCGACAACCACTCAGTCGAGGCAAATTGCTCAAAGTAATGCTGCTGGACCATGCACTTCAAAAAACTTATCAATTGAAATGAAAGAGCGGAGAAATGTAAATATTATGTAAACATCCGAAATAGTTAATCAATACTTCTGGGGAATCGGATGATCACAAGAGCTTAGAAATGATTCACAGTGTTTTTTGTTTTCAGTTCTTGCTTAGTTTTTTTTTAAGTGGCCAGTCTGATCAGGTTTTTATGCCCGTGAAGATAGAGTTGGGATCAAGATGGAGCTGAAAATTGAACACACGTTCTGTTGTTGCTCCTCCCCCTCCTCATACTTTGTCCTGCTCCCCTCTTCTCCTCTTCTTCCTCCTCCTCCTCCTCCTCCTCCTTCATCTCTTTGTTTTTTTTAAGCTCTCGCTGTGTTTTCATGAAATATTGCCCGAGGGGCGGTTCAATTTTGATGCATTTACAACGTTCGGGGTGTTGGTAATTATAGGGACTTTATGTCTGGAAGTTTCCTTTATGATAGGGTTTTTACTTTCAAGTTTCTTTCATATACCGTTCGCGCTATTGTTGCATCGCCTTTGATTGCTGAATTAAGTCGGTCGAGTGGACCTTTTTTGTCTTTTAGTATTTCTGGGCCAGCGCCTCGGGAAACGCCCAGGGAAACCGGGAAGGTCGGATCGAAAGCCCTCTGCACACACATAAATCCGTTCGAGCGGAGGAGGAGCTCGATCATTGAATCCAGACGCACGGAAAAGGTTTAAGGGAACATCAGCACTCCGCGGGATCAACTCAGTTAGCTACCAATGCGAATGTATCTTGAGAGACCTCACCAATCTATTGTGTATTGTGGTGGATACAATCAGAAGACTCTTTTTATCAACATATGCACGGGTTTTATCAATATTGGTTTCGAAAACATTGTTATTATGAGGAACATAGTAAGTGTTTAAATAGTTGAAAGTGTTTTTGAAAGTCCGTTACTCAGGTACGTGTCTTTGCTAGATGAAGTCTCCAAAAGGTGGCGCAAATTGGAGAAAACCTTGCTCTAATTGAAGCCCTGGTGTATAACAGTGTGGTGGGAAACTAGGGTGACCGGTGGCATCCACCGAGGTCGGAAGAAACACATCTGCGGCCAGATATAGTTTTTGAGTCTGCTGATTTTTCACATTAACATTTGCAATTAGCGGCCGAGCCCTGGCTTATTTATTCTGTTTACATTTATTTCTGTTAAGAATTTTGGTTAGCGATAGAGGCGAAAGCGCCTCCAGCGGAAGAACCGTCTTATCGATAAAACCTCGGCAGCTTTGATTGGGAATCGAAAAAGAATCGGATATCTGGAAAAGGTTTTACGCGATTTAAAGTGATTGCAACTCGAGTGATCCGTCGATCTGGCAACGCAAACCTAGTTTTTATTTACGCAGAGCACGACAAAAAAGGAGTGCAGGAACAGATCAAAGTGCTATATCCGATATATGCTCATGTGCAACGCATTTCCCAGCAAGTGAACTCCAGGTAACTACGGCCAGTCTCAGAACGCAACGCGACCGAGTTCGCGGAAACAAAAGGCAGCTGTGTGCGCGTGTAAGTGTGTAAGTGTGTGAGTGAGTCGCTGCATGCGAGTTGGTCCTTTGGTTTCCGCGAAATCGCCCGAAAAGGGGGCAACGCACGTCGGGTTGGGTGGACACATGTCCAGTGAAGGGGGCGCGCAGGCGGGGCCATGTTCGTTGGTGGCCGCAGCGGGGCGACGAACTTAACCTCAAATCCTGGGCCGAGAACCCCAAACGTGTGACGAAAGACAACAAGGCAACAAGGCAAGCCAGGCGAGTAATGCCAGTCACTTGGAGCCCGATTCCGGATGACAAGCGAAAGCACAACGATGAGGCAGTCCCGGTCCCGCTCCCAGATTTCTAGTCTGATCGCCTTCTTTGAAAGCAAGCAGACCCGCCCCCGCAGCTCGTAGTCCCCGTGTCTAATCCCGCCTCCTCTCTCTTCCACAGAGCGCGCCCACAAGGAGGCCAAGCCCAAGCAGCTCGCCATGGTGAAGAAGCGTCAGGCGGACAGTCACGACCACGAGAGCTCCACGGACTCCGGCGATGAGGAGCTACACCACCGCAGCCACGCACTCGGCTCCGCCGGTCAGGCGGACGGAGCCACGCCCTCCTCCGCCAGCTGCCAGCACATCAAGAAGGCGGTGGACGCGACCTGGCTGAGGCGTCAGCTGAAGGCCACGGGTCTTCTCTACGAGTGCTCCCAGTGCCAGAAGCTGGGCAAGACCGCCGCGGAAGCGGGAGGCACAGCCGGGCCCGGATCTGGCGGGGAGCCGGGCGACTTCGAGTTCGACAGCACGCTGTGGCTGTGCCTCAAGTGCGGCAGCCAGCTGTGCGGAAGGGCCCGCCACAAGCACGCCCTGGAGCACTACCAGGTGGGTAATCTTTCCCCTTGGATTCCCATTAATTGCGTCTTTCCAACTCCGCTTTGTTTCGCTTGGATTTCCCTTACTCATTTGGTTTTGATTGTGTTCCGTCTCTATTCCGTTTTGCTCGGGTTTCCAGCGAAGTCGAATTCATCTGAATATTGAGGCATTTGGCCTAAATTCGATTTGGGAAACCGAATTAGCTTAGTGTATTCAAATGCAATTCCAGCCCGCATAAAAATAGGCCAATCTTGCCCAAGTTATTTACAAAATTCAAATGTCCCTTACAGAATCGCTGAAGTATTCAGGGTACATTTGTAAATTGTAAGTCTTCTCTTAGAATTGGAATATTGGATTTGGAGAAAGTGGCCAGCATAATGGCATTAAAAATAATAAATATTATATATTTTATGTAGCCAGGAACTTAATTTCAATTGTCAGAGTTTTGCAACAATGGTGTATGCCTTTATATACATTTTTCTACAGAATTTTTTATACCAATTGCGTTGTGAGGCTAATAATATCTTTCTGCTCCTTGCAGACACCCCGCTCGGACTCGCATGCCCTGGCCATGAACACGCGCTCCTTCGACATCTGGTGCTACGAGTGCGACATGAAGATTTGCTCCAATCTGCGCAAGAACCTGCTGGAGTGCGTGGAGCTGGTCAAGCGGCTGGCCCAGAAGCCGCCCACCAACTCCAACACAGCCACGCCCAGTCCGCCCACCATCAGCTACATCGAGCAGAAGTTGCTGGAGCACCTCACGCCCATGGTGTCCATGACTGGCGGATACTTTGACGACGCTGGCGGGGGAGGGGCCGCTGTTGGTGCGGGAGGTGGAATCAGGGGCAGCCAAGTGGCCATTCCGATGCCCCCGCCGCCGCCCAGCTCTGGACAGTCGCCCTCCGGTTCGCTGACCAGCGTGCCGGGAGTGGCCAAGAGGGTCGGCCAGGTCAACCCCACCACCACAGCCGCAGCTACAGCCAACGCCAACGCAGCCACAGCCAATGGCAACAGTGTAGGCAGGCGAGTCCTGAGCCTGGAGCCGCCGCGCAACGAACTCGACCGACTGCCCAGGGTGCGAGGCTTGACCAACCTGGGCAACACTTGCTTCTTCAATGCGGTGATGCAGTGCCTCGCCCAGACGCCGTTTCTGCTTCCCGTGCTGAAGGAACTGGCGGAGCCCGGAGAAGAGTAAGATGGATATGGATAGCATAGCCTTGCTTGAACTGTATTTAACGTGTTCTGTGTTCCAGGTTCGTGCTGCCCGGAGGCACCTTCAAGCTGAAGGACAAAGGCGACATCGAGCTGCCCATGATCAAGGGCACCCTCTCCTCCTGGGGCGGACTCACCGCCGCCTTGAGCAACGCGCTCGAGGAGCTCCAGGCGGGCGGCAGTGTCTTCACGCCGAGCAAGCTCTTCGACAAGCTGTGCATGAAGTGTCCGCAGTTCACGGGCGGCGACCAGCACGACGCCCACGAACTGCTGCGCCAGCTCCTGGAGAGCGTGCGGAACGAGGATCTGAAGCGGTACCAGCGCGTGATCCTGCAGAACCTCGGCTACAAGGACCAGGACATCAACAGCGTCTCCGAGGAGATGCGGCAGAAGTGCAAGATGTACGGCAACCAGGCCAGCGACCGCATCCTGCGCCCGGAGCAGGTCTTTCGCGGCTTCCTTGTGTCCACGCTGACCTGCCAGGACTGCCACAGCGTCTCCTCGCGGCACGAGTACTTCCTGGACATGTCGCTGCCCATGGCCGTGGAGAAGCCCCAGCCGCCGCAGCGCAGGAAGCCGAGTCCGGAGCTTTCGCTGGTCCCCAGCAGCTCCGGCGTCATCTCCACCCAGACCACTCAGCCAGCGATCAACACCAAGTTCACGGACGGCAACGTCAACTTCACGGCCACGTCCTCCTCCTTCTTCCTGCACGCCGACCAGGAGGGCTCCCTGGGCCCCTCCAAGTCGCAGGTGAAGAAGGAGAAGGAGCGGGAGCGCAAGGCCAAGCGGGCGGCGAAGCACCAGCGCCACAAGCAGGCCCAAAAGCTGAGCCTCAAGCTGAACGGCAACGGTGGAACTGGCAACGGGAACGGCTTGGAGGAGCCCGGGGAAACGGAGGCTGCGCCGGCTTCCCTGGGCGCTGGCGATGGCCAGACCAACGACGGTCCCGAGCAGTCCAAGGACCAGACCGAGGACACCACCTCGTCCAGCGTGACCACCTCGGAGCACTCCGACGCCGACGTGGAGGACAATCTGGTCGAGGATACCGCCCCGCCGTCGTCGAGCACCTCGGCAGCTCCGCCCAAGTTCTACACGGACAGCAACGGCAATGCCCAGCCGCTGGGCGAGAAGCGCGACGACACGCCGGAGCACATGGACAAGGACTCGCTGGAGGAGGACGAGAATGGTGAGTGGTTGAGCACTCAACCGAAGAGAAGGGTTTCCTGATTCCAATATGACCTCTAAAGTGCACTGATATGCACAACTAATCTTGTAAGCTGTAGCAACAAAAAGTACATTTTGTAGTATAGAATAGTATCAGTATCAGCAAATTAGGAAATCTATCTATATACACAGATATAGCTTTTAAAATGTTTGTATTCCTGCTTAAACAAAGTGATGAGCCATGTGATCTAGATTCGTTGTCAGTTTCATTGTTGTCGCAAGTATTTCAAGCACTTTGGCGTTCGCTAATCCCACTTTTCCCACCACTCTTCCAGACTCGGGCATCGCCACCAGTCCGGCACCAACTGCCACCAACAGCAGCACCAGCACCAATGCCATCAACGACTCCAACGCCGCGGGCAACAACAACTCCGGCAACTCCTGCAACTCTGGCTCCGCATCGGGATCGTCGGGCGCCACGGAGGAGACCTCGGCGCCGGCTAGCCTGGTCAGTGCTGGGCTCTCGGAGAAGGGCGCCTCCCTGATCCGCCAGATCTCGGTGGGAGCCGAGCAGGGTGGCCTGAACGGGGCTGCAGGCACGGACGGAGCGGCCCCGGCTGCGCAGGCGAACCATCAGACGCAGAAGCAGGCGCAGACGCAGACGCAAAGCCAGACGCCTGCCCAGAACCAGGCGCAGGTGCAGGCCAAGGCGCAGGCCCAGGCGCTGGCCCAGGCACAGGCGCGCACGAAGCGGGTGCGCACGCAGAGCTACTCGGACTGGAGCACCACGATAGCGCCGCGCTACCAGTGCGAGGACGGCGAGTGCTCCGTGCAGTCGTGCATGAACAACTTCACCGCGGTGGAGCTGATGACCGGCCAGAACAAGGTGGGCTGCGACAGCTGCACGCTGCGCATCAACGGCAGCGACCCGAAGGCCAAGACGGTGAACACGAACGCCACCAAGCAGCTGCTGGTCTCCAGCCCGCCGGCGGTGCTCATCCTGCACCTGAAGCGCTTCCAGCTGGGACCGCGCTGCATCTTCCGCAAGCTGACGCGCAACGTGAGCTACCCCAACCTGCTGGACATCGCCGCCTTCTGCGGCTCGAAGGTGAAGAACCTGCCGAACATCGACCGCAAGCAGAAGAAGCTGCTGTACGCCCTCTACGGCGTGGTGGAGCACTCCGGCGGCATGTACGGCGGCCACTACACCGCGTACGTGAAGGTGCGCCCCAAGGTGACGCCGGACGACAAGCGCTGGAAGTTCCTGCCGCACGGCAGCAAGTCGGAGCTCGACCAGGACGACGAGCAGCTGAAGAAGCTGGAGGAGCTGCTGGCCAAGGAGAAGGCGCGCGAGCTGCACCTGCACGCGATGGACGACAGCGACGACTTCACCAACTCCAGCAGCAACTCGTCCACTTCCGACGAGTGCAATGCCCCGACCACGCCGCTCGAGGAGCAGCAGCCGCCCCAGGAGGAGGCCGCCCACGTGCGGGCGCCGCCCGGCAAATGGTATTACGTGTCCGACTCGCGTGTCCAGGAGGTCAGCGAGGACACGGCGCTGAAGGCGCAGGCCTATCTGCTCTTCTACGAGCGCATCTACTAGAGATCGTGTCTTTAAAGGATTACCGAGGACGAGTGTGAGTGAGCAGGAGGATGGAGAAATGAGGAAGGAGGAACGAGGAAGGAGCGCGTGTCTGGGAAGGGGAGTGCAGGAGAGGAGCAGCCATCGTTCCATCAACTAGCTTAGGATACTCTATACATATACATTAATTAATTTTACTTTCTGCGCGGGGTGCGTCGTCAGAAGAGCTCTCTCCTTCCCAGGAACCCAACATTGATTACAATTAATTTTTATTTAAAACTGCATTTCTGTACAAGCTGGCCCGAAGGACAAGCACGGAGGTTGGAAAATTAGTGAAACACCTAGATACGAGATACGAGATATGAGATATACGATATGAGACAGAGAAACAGAAAGAGAAAGAGACAGACGTAGTGGCGGAGAAGGAGACAGCAGATACTCACACATGCCAAATGCATTTGGTTTCTCCCACTCAAAATTTATTGTACAATTTCGTTTTTTGGGACAAGCTTTAGTTAGTTAAACACGACGGAGGAGGAGACACGCACTCATTTTAAAGTAGTTCTCAGGAGAATGGCTTTCGTTTACTATTACCATTATTTGTGAGTTCTTTGCGAAAAGACACTAAGGGGACATAACATGTTTATTAGCTATAAGTTCTCTCGGTTCCAACTTTCCTCGAACTACGACGACAGAACGTTACTTAAACCACAAGGCTCGCAAAACCCAGAAAAAAATCGGATAATTAAAGACAAAAATACAGATAGAAAGGAGGATCGAGAGGAGAAAACAAGGAGAGAAACTATTTGCTGATGTTCATAAGGTCTTATAATGAATACGAATGAAATAAAACAACCAATTGCTCGCTTCTGCCAATAAATTTAACTTTGCGTAACTTAACTTATATACACCTACTATATACACTATATTAAGGGCCCATATACATACCGCCCACGTAGATATTTACAATTTCAGCCGAGAAATAAATATTTTGAACCAACCAACGTAGTGGAGGCAATGGCGAAAAGAGAGGTTTATACAATAGAAGACAAAATAATTATACAACACAGTTTATCTTATGACTTTGGCTTAAAGATCGATTAAATTATGATAACCAACCAACAACCATGGGACTCTATGTGTATTAAAGAGTGAAACGATTCGAAAATGTATGCAGATTGCTTGTGGGTTATTCGGTTTTTGTTTTGCCAGAGTGAAGGTTTCACTTGTGCAGATCCGCGATCCAGTTAAGAACTAATATGATAAAACATTGTTTGCGTTTTAGCATGGGTTCTGCCGATTCAATTTGCCACATTGAAGAATATTCATCGCAGGCCTAGCTCCTTTAAAATTTAACTTCTAGCAAAAGTAGAAAGTGACTCAGAACTCTGAGCATGTAGCATACATGTCGAATACATCGAGTGACCTACACGTGTAATGTAGAAAGTAAAGGAACAATTGGTAAAAGTAAACTGTATTCAATTAATGCCACACTTAATACGAATTATTCGCCACTATTTATCAATCTTTTCGCCCATTAACTGAAAACATATTTGTGATAAATACATTATTAATAGATGTCTTTTAAGAAATAATAAAAACTACAAATTTTACTGGAAATAAATTTAAGCAACAGTGGTGGGTATAACAATGAGCCCTTTAATGTTGATGCTTCGACTACCGTTCCCAGTTCCCAGTTCCCAGTTCCCAGTCCCAGCTTATCTGTTATCTGCTCCCGGCCATCTGACCCCATCGCATCCCATTCCAAGGTCACGACGTTCTCCGCTCAGTCGATCGCTCAGAGCCCGACTCACAGGCGGCTCCATCGGTTCCGTTCAGTCGCACAATGAAAGCCGCAGTGTTCAGATTGTGGTTCTGGCTGGGACTTGGGTTGCTCCTGGCCAACCTGGCCAACCTGGTTTCGGCCAAGCGGTACCTGCGCTGCGAGCTGGCCCGCAAACTCCTCGATCAGCATGGCTTCGAACGGAGTCTGCTCTCCAATTGTGAGTGAGGTGTTCATTAGAAAATCAATGTTCTTCGTCGTTCCTGTTCTATCCTAGTTTAAAAATTTACATGAGCAGTATTATGGTTTCAGCTCAAACGTATTATACTATGTATATCCGGGTATTGCTATTAATTCAAAGTTCCTTGAACTAGGGATCTGCCTACTGGAGCACGAGAGCGATCTGGACACCACTAGGATCTCAGCGAATCCCAACGGAACCCGCAACTACGGCTTGTTCCAGATCAACAGCAGCTTCTGCCAGGAGGAAAGGCGCGGCGGCACTTGCAATGTCAAGTGCGAAGGTCTGAAGAGTCTTCTGCACAATTAACAATCTATTGTATTATTCTTCCTTGCTAGACCTGCTGGACGAATCCCTGAGGGAATCGGCGACTTGTGCCAAGCGCATCCAGACTTCGAATGGCTTTAGGCACTGGAATGGCTGGCAGCGCTACTGCCGTAACCCTCAAAATCTGCCTAATCTCAAGGTTATCTGTGGTATTTAGAAAGTAACAAGTACTGTGCAACTTTTTATTCGTTGGATTTCGCAAACACTTGAAAGCAAGTACTCTCCCCTTTGAAATAAAATGACTTTTGGCTGTTCTATAAAATCGTACTGAAAAAAATGTGGATAAATTGAGCATAAAAAACGTTCACCTGCATCATTACTTTATTTTCTATTTTTTGGTCAATGTTTTGTCATTTTTTATGACCTCCGAACTTTTCGATTTTGCAAAAAATGGGTTTGCAGAAAGGTGACCAGATCCCAGCACTTCTTAGCCGATAATTTTTGTATTTTTTATCCGATTAAAAAGTGAGATACCTCCCTGAATTTGTTATTAAAATATCTATCATTGATATGGGATCAGAATGTTTGGTTTTGGGTCACCTTTTGGCTAACAATCGGAAACTTGAAAAATTTGACATGAACAGGGGTTAATAAATCGACCGTTCCTAAATGAAAAATTTAAATGAAGACCGGTAAGGGATTTCATGAGAAAAGTTTAAAGGATCAAAGTTGACAAAGTTATGGGATCAGAAAGTGCCGTTTTCGGTCACCTTTTGGTGGTTTGAATGAGTAAAGTTAAAAGAAAGGTTTTGGGTGATTCTCCGTAAGGAAATCTTGCGACCAATGTCTCTCTTTCATTCGATCAGTTGCTTTCTCTTAATATCTGCGAGCTTTGTTCATTATCAGCTAACGCAAGCTTTTTGGCCCATAGCTTTTTCCGACGACTGTTAGCTTTTCAGAGCAATTTAGTCAGCTCGTGAAACTACGCCCCCTCCTCCCCAGTGGGGCTATCTAGCTTACGTGGGGCTTTCGCACTCGGGCAGCCGTGGGGTTCATTTGGCGACACAGGCCAAGCGATTCGGAGCGTTTTTTGGCAACGTGTTCAAAACAGAAAAAACCGAAAACCAAGCAAGAAAACTTGGAAAATAAGTAAAGTCGAGAAAAGTAATTCCAGTGCCCAGTGCCAGAGATAAACTCTCTTGTTACACATATATAGTATATATATATACTCTAAGGAGTATTTGCCATGCAAATGACTGGCATGTGATTCTGTGATTCCGATTACCCCGAATGCCGCCCCTTATATAATAATTGTACCTCCTCCCCAAACATATTATAATGTGACTCATACCCTCCCCTGAACCGGTTCTGAAGAGGAACTGTTGCAGCTTCGCCAGAGCGAAAGATCCAAGATCTTGGGGCTCAGTCGTTGAGCTGCGGTGTGATAAAGTTGAAGCCAAAATGAAAACTTAAGTGTATACTGATTTTTTGTTTTCGTGTTCAAGTCCCAAGACCCATGAAACGTACCTGTTAATAATAAGTGTTATCCCTAAAATGGGGTCAAATAAGATCCGCCCCAATCTCCATGTTATCCTATAAGAATGTGAATAAAGAAATGAAAATTAAAAATTATGAAATAAAATGGATGAGCTCTATTTGATATTGGTGGGAGAAAAAAGCCTTTTTTCGCATTTTTTATATTTACCAAGCTGATAGATTAAAAAAATTTGAAAACCTAAAGAAAGAAAACCTAAGGAAGTTACTGTGTGATTATCATAATGTTGTGAAATAGAAAAGATCTCTACTGCAAATGTTTTTACTCAGATAGAGTACGTTACTCGTGCATATTTGCGTTGAAAATAATGTGAAATTATAAGGTCTTAACTTATGTCGGATCTTAAAAATAAAAGATCTATGATTATGTAAGTGCTCATATGGCACCTTGTGCAGTGAAGTGAATTATATATCAATATATTAGTAACAACAATCTGAAAGTAATTAACGAATGCCAAACAATAGAAAATTTTAATTTAATATCAGGTTTGATTTGTCTCCTTTCCTATCCTGTTTCGTATCCTTTACAGATAATGTCAGCTGATGCATGAGTGATCACTAAGAAGTGATCATGGAGCATTATGTGTTACTCGAAGAAGCTAATGAATGATCCCTGGTCCTTTAAAATGTCCTGCAAAGTGAGCTCGGCTCCTTTTGAGCAGTGAACTTTGCCACATTCTTTTGATTTCATTTGAAACATAGTTTTTATCCATGTTGGTATTTTCATAAGATTGCGAAATGCAGTAGATATATTTCCATTTACTTGGTCCACTCAGGCGGTGTGTTTTTCGTTTTGGGGCTATTTCATCATATGGCGAAACTCGTCCAAAATCCCCTTTGCCGAAGAGCTTTGTTTGTGTTTTTTCTGTTTTGTTTTGGTAATCAGAGAACGACGCTAAGTCCACGTAGTTGATAGCGAATTGCGAAAACAAAATCGCTCAAGCCAATTCAGCTTTTATGGTGTTCGTGAGAGAGCGTTTAGCTACAGTCGAGCCCCCTATGGTGGATTTCGAGTCAACATAGTTCGAAGACTGAATCACTCAAGTGTTATGCTTCCTTAAGTACTATTTCACTAAACAATTGCAAAAGTAAAATTGTTCTAAACAACTAATTGCACTTTGTATGAGTCATAAAATTGACCCTAGTTCAATTCCGAATGATATGAACTGATTTTAAAATATAAATAAATTCAAGGTCAAGTTAAGGGTTCAAATGATTGTGGATGGTGTTTGAAAGCTAATAGTCTATTAGGATACTCTATTAGAATCTGTTTTCCGAATTGTGAAAAAGTGCAGAAGGTTCGAAGAGGTGGCATAGAAGTGTTTAATAGATTATCATCCTAAGGTCTGGATCCTAAGGTCTGAGTCCTAAGGCTTAATCCTAATATCTGAATCCTAAGATCTGAAGAAAAATATAGACACTTTATCCGAACGGACAGAAGTGCACTAGTGCCCGCTTGTGTTGGTCGACTGGCGCTCCACTGTACCCAGTGGCTCTCCCTTTGTCTGCGACGCATTTCTCGGCGCTTCAATGGTGGGGCGTTCTTGCCGCTCCCGCACCGCCGAACGCACCACCGAACCACCGCCCCCCCGCCTTGGCGCTCTGCTGGCGCCGCCGACCTGAGCGTATAAAAAGTGCCGGCCGGCGAGCGGTTGTCATCAGTTCCCCAGCTTTTAGCTTTGTGGAAGAGCGTTTGCCAGTGAACAGCAGCGAAAAGCCAAGCGATTCAAGCCAAGCCAAGCAAAACCAGGCCAAAACCAAGCAAAACCAAGCCAAAATCTATTACCACATCGAAGGTAGATCCCCGAGAGAAACCAAGATGAGTGAGCTGGCCAAACAGCAGGAGCAGGCGAGCCAGGAGCTGCTCGACTGCGACATCGACTTCGAAGTCGAGGAGGTGCAGCCGGCGCCCAGGGAGCGGGAGCGGGAGGAGAGGATCCCGGCCGGGAAGGCGGACAAGCGCTACTCCAAGGCGCTCAAGAAGGTGACCAAGGTGCAGCGCATGCTGGAGCAGGCCATGCTCCTGCTGGCCGAGGAGGAGGCCAGGGTGCGGCAGCAGGGGGAGAAGGAGCCCAAGAAGGCCAAGAAGCAGCAGAAGAAGCTGGCCAAGAAGGAGAAGAAGAAGGCCAAGAAGCAGGCCAAGAAGCAGGCCAAGGAGCAGAAGGAGGCGGGTCAGGAGCAGGATGACTCCTCGTCCAGTTCCAGTTCCTCCAGCTCCAGTTCCAGCTCCAGCTCCAGCTCCAGCTCCAGCTCCTCCGGCTCGAGCTCCGAGGACGAGGAGGCGGTGAACTTCTACGGCTACGGCTGGGGTCGCAATCCCTGGCGCCGCGGACCGCACGGCGGCTTCCCCCACCGACATGGCCATGGCCACGGCTTCCCCCACCGCCATGGGCACAAGCACGGTCGCAAGCACGGCCACAAGCACGGCCACGGCCACGGACCCCACCACCACGGAAGGCACGGAAGACACGGACGCCACCACGAGGGACCCCACCACCCGCACCACTTGGGACCGCACTTCGGTCCCCACTTTGGACCCCACTTCGGACCCCACCCCTTCGGCTTCGACTTCGACCGGCGGTCCGCCTGGGCTCCTTGGCAGGATCAGTCCCAGTTTTTTCGGTGGATGGGCCTGCCGTGGGCCCTGGACAATGCCGCGGCCTGTCGGAGGAGCCGATCGCTGCCTAGACCTCTCCACGACTGTCGTGGAGATCTCGGACTCGGATTCGGGTTCGGGTTCGGACCCCGACACGGATACGGACATGGCCACCCGGGTAGACCACATGGCCGTCGAGTAGAGCGCTCCCTTTCCCGCTCCCGCTCCCGTTCCAGTTCCAGTTCCAGTTCAAGCTCTAGTTCCAGTTCTGAGGATGAGAAGAAGAAAAAGCGCTGCGGTAGGAAGTCCCGCCCCAGGAGGTCCCGCTCCAGTTCCAGTTCCAGTTCCAGTTCAAGCTCTAGTTCCAGTTCTGAGGATGAGAAGAAGAAGAAGAAGAATAAGAAGGGCAAAGGCAAGGGCAAGGGCAGGAAGGAGCGTTCCTCCTCCAGCTCCTCCTCAAGTTCCAGTTCCAGTTCGGAGAGCGATGTGCCGAGGAAGCACCATGGCCATGGTCCCCGCTTCGGACCTCCCCATGGCCACCATGGCCACCATGGCGGCCGCGGCCACCACTTCGGCCCTCATCCTGGACAGCATCACGGCGGTCATGGCCCGCATTTCGGACCCCATCATGGCCCTCACTTCGGACCCCATCATGGCCACCACCACTTCGGCCCACCCCGCAGACCGGAGTTCGGCTTTCCGCCAGAGGAACCCTTCAGGCACTTTGCCCACCGCGGACCCCACGGAGAACCCACCGAGGGACCGCCGCCACCGCCCACACCCTTCGGACCCCCAGCCGAGTTCTTTGGTCGATCCCGATCCCGGTCCCGGTCGCGCTGCCAGAAGGAAGGCCGGGAGAGATCCCACTCCCGTGGGCAGGAAAAGTGCGGAAATGGCGGGGAGAAGTGCAAGAAGAACAAGAAGAACAAGAAGAAGCACGGAAAGCACGGCCATGGACAAGGACATGGACATGGACATGGACATCGCGGCTAGAGGGAGCACAGCTGGCATTTAAATGCGTCAATATTCCTTCAATATATTCTTCAATATAACCATTTATCTATAACCTCCTTTGCAACTGCAAATCGTATACCCAGAAAAGCTTTATTACTGTTATTGTTATTATAGAAAAACCATTTAAAAGTATATTCAATCAAAAAAAGAACAAAAACAAAAACCAAATAAATAGCTATTGTATTTACTACGAAACGAACACTCAAATCTCATTTCACTTCTGGGATTAGCGAGCAGCGGAATTTTGTTCTCGCCAATAATTATGTATTTAATTCATTTTGGGCGAATGATAAAATTGCATTATTAATGCATTGGCAATGATAAGGACATCAAAAACGCCAACAAAGCGGCCTTTCTGGCCGAAACAAATTTAATCCTATTTAAATCCAATAAAACACTCAAAGGGAGGAGAAAAACAGTTCAAAACGAAAAACAACCAGCGGGGATTAATGTTAAAGTTTTCCGGTAGATAGTACTGCCATAGATAGAGGGAGTGACGAATCAATACAACGTGGGTATTCCTGGGAAGGTTTTCCCCACTCGAATGACGAGGTGGGTGCTATCAGCCGATAGCAGGCCCGATAAGTCGGTAAGTTGATCGATAACGTCCGCTGCTGATAACGGCGCTTGGGGGTCGCTCCCTCCTGGTTGAACGTGATTACATGGACGGCGAGGTAATCCAATTAAGTGACCCGAGGCCTGCGCAAAGTGCCAGGAGCAACCGCAGAAGCCGTCAATTAGCCGGCCAACTAGGAAAAGCAACCTCGCTCTCGTTGCGAGGTTTTCTTTTAGGGTTTGAACGGACTTTCCCCTGCGAGGGGGAAAGGCTGGGAACAGCTCGCAGCCAACTGTTCCCAGCGGCGGGGGAGAGCTGTTCCGAGCTGTTCCCTGGTTAGGTTCGTGGCGACAGTATGACCACCCTGTCATCTCTCACAGGCGACTTCAAGGCAGTCAGTGTGGCCCTACCCCCTCATTGTAGGGTGCACACTCTCCCCTCCTTCTCATCGCATCCCCAGCTTAAGAGAGCGCCTAAGAGAGCCGAATACTGGGAGCAGTGGTGGGAACACTTGCGGGAACACTTGGTAGCCGTCCCCTAATTAACGGGTGGAATGGCTTTTGTCTATAGCTCGTCTGGCGGATCGGGGTACCCTGGGCACCACCAGCTCCTCAGGAGCGAACTCCTGACCTCTGCGTCCGACGAGCGGACCAGGAAGCCGCCGTTGTTGCAAGCCCCACCTCTTCCCGCCTCTCCCCCTTCCCACCCCTCCCCTTCCCCCGTTAGAAGAGGGGTCAACAGGTGAGCACTAAAAACAGGCCAAAATCCAATGGCGCCATTTATAAAGGAAAACTTTATTTAATTTTGTGACAATGTGACAGGCGCAGCAACTGTTCATTGTTTCTTTTTGTGTGGTGTTTGTTGACATTCGGGAAAGTTGCAATGTTTTTATTGGCAGTTTTTTTGCACGGTGGATAAAAAGCATAAACTGTATGCAAGGTAAGTGGTTATTTATTTTTTGGACGGCTAAAATGACTTTTGAAAGCCATGGAAACATTTCCCTGCCGCCATTGTCACTTGCAGGCTCCCCGTTCAGCTCAACTCAATCCGGAGCGACTTCTGTTTTCCAATTACTGGGAAACAAAGGCGGTCAAAAGGGGGAAAAAGAACTTGAAACTGTGAGCGTGGCATGGAGCAAAAAGTAAGGAGCCGGAAGTGGATTTTTGAGCGGAAATAATTTTGCCACATGTTGGCAATATAAAAAACCGAAGAGGGTGAGGCTGAAACAAAGTCACGCGCGGAGGTCGAGGAAAAGCGGGGAGAGCGGGGGCGTGGCACAAATCCTTCCGCTGTCGTCATTGTCGAAAGCCCTAAATTCAATATAAGCGAGGGATCCGCCGCTCCCTGCTCATCCCATCCTGCCCATCCCTGCGATTCCCACTTCCTGCCTCCTCCCACTTGCGGTACGTATATTTTTTAATAATTTTCTCCATTTCCCTTCACCTGTCTATGAAGCAAACGGGGGGGAAAACTCGGGAGGGGTGCTAAAATCAGTTGTAGTTGCCTTCGTTTTAGGGGGTCGTTTGACCTTCAGTAGTTTCGTCGTCGGTTGGCATCACAGAGCCGGAATGGAGGAACCAGCCTTTGTTGTCCGCGTGCTTAATAAGCGACAGCCGAAAAGTATGCACCCGTTGCAAAGTGAAACTGAATGGCATTCCTGCTCCGCAATATCTTGGCAAGCAAGCTGGGGCGACAGCAGTTCCTCCCCCGCTTTCCCGCTTTTCCGCTTTTCCGCTTTTCCGCCTCTCCGCTTTTCCTTTTTTCGGAGCCAGCACTCTCGGCTAACTGGCAAACAATGGCCGCCGTAATACTACACAATAGATATTTGTCGGGGGCGTTCCTAGGTGCGAATGCGAATGCGAATGCAGATACAGAAAGTTATTCGAACGCTACGTGAGCGGAGTGCCAGAGCAGTGGGAACTGTAACAATGGGCGGGTGACCCCGACACCTCCCCCTCCCCCTCCCCCTCCCACTTCCTGCGAATGAGATGGCCCTTAGCCCAGTTGCAACGCATTTCGTATGCAGCTCTTGTCCGGCAACGCAACCTTTACGCTTCTGGTTCGGGCTCTTCCGCCCCCAGCAGCCCCGCCCCCACGCTCACTCGCTCACTCGCTCACTCGCTCCCTGCCATTGCGGCTCCATTTCCACGTTTCCACCAGCCGGGCTAAGCAAACAAGCGAGAGCAGGAGCAAGAGCAAGAGCAAGATGTAAGGACAAAAAGTGCAATTTGCAAGGACAACGCTGCGTATGCGCGATGTTTGAGGCGGATGTTATGACTTCAATGCCAGCGCCACTCGCTCCTCCTCCAGTCTAGTTGAACGTGAAATCGCCAATTTAATTTAAGATAGAGAGAGATTTAAAGTAATCAAATAAGGGCTGAAAAAACAACTGCGGATGAAAAAACCATGGATGGAATGGCGGGAGGAAAAACAGCCGCAGGCAAAGGAAAACCTTCTCGACCTTAAACGGGCCAATTAGGAAACTAAAGCATCCACCCAAGGAGCTCGAACTAAGAGCAGCTGAACAGTTGCCTACGTGGATACCCCGGCAGAATATGGTACAAAAACTACGCAGATGCAATAATTGCCGTAATATTTGGTTATTACACGCGCGGCAATTGGAAATTGTGCGGAAAACGAAACAAAATGCCGCCTGAAATGGCCATCAATTTAAATTGTTTAATTTGTTTGCAAATGTATCTGTATATCTGCGATTGGGAATCGGATCGAATGGCTCCCGGGGGAAGGGGATCATAAAGATAGCAGCAGTGGTAAGTTCCCCCGGAGACAAATTGAAATCCGTGCAGCGATTAAAAGGATTTCTCCGTACACTCAAAATACTTTCGCTGGGAAGTTTCGTGTTGGTAAATAATAAACAGGCAAGTAAGACGAGTGTTTGTCGAAATTCCCTTTGTTATATTGTACGTTCTGATAATTTGCGTTATGTGTTTACCTCGGATTTCTTTGTCGGAACTGTAAACATAAATGAGTTTCTGTGCGTGTTGTTCTTTTGAATACTTTTTATGAATTTGCCAGAGCATATGCTTCTGGGGCTGGTACTCCAATGCCTATTTGTACTCGCACTCGTATGCTTTCCACCTCCAATACATCGCCTCGAAATGCCGCCACGTTCGGGCAATTTGTGGCAATTAAATTCGAGGCGGGCCAACTTTTCTTGTGCGAAATCTGCATACGAGATGTGACAAATTTGACGCTATAAAAGCCAATTATTCCATTTACTTAGTCCCTGCTCCCGGCTACACACATACACACACATATATATATGTATATTTACCAACACACATGCGAAATTAAATCAAAATCTTTATTAAAACATTTTATGCAAATGAATAAATAAGCAAGTGGCGGACAGGAAAAAAGCGGCAGAAGGAAAACTGACTGACAGCCGTCAGAGCTCGCAGAGAGTTAGACAGAGAGGGCGATAGTCGGGGGGAGTGGGAGGGGGAAAGGGACGGGCAACAGTTACACATTTACATAAATATTACAAGGCTATTACTCGCCACCCGATGCCACGCCCACTCACCCTACGCCCACACGCCTTCGTAGGCAAATACGCGTGTGTGTGTGTGTGCATTACAATAATATGAAAATTATTTGTAATGTAATTTCAACTTAATAAATGTTCGTTTTCACATAAAGCGACAACTCATTTCGCTCCGCCAGCAGGTAAGTGTGTGCGTGCACTGAGAGAAACGCGGGAGGTGGTTTGTTAAATGATTCCTAGGGAGAGTGAACGGTGAACTGCTAGACATTTCCCTTGTGTTCCTTCCGGTGGAGGGAATTTTCCACAGTGGTTCGAGGTAACGGTGGGAAGTGGAGCTGCGAGGTGAGAACGAGAAGTGGAAGGAGAAGTAGAGGGAGAAGGAGAAGGACAAAGAGAAGGAGGCGAAAAGGGAGAAGGAGGAGAAGGTAAAAGCCAAAGCACGACAGGAAGTAAAGTTGTCGAAAGTGAATTTGCATAAACGTATGAAATTTTAATATTTACGACAAATTTTCAACCACTTCCCCGCCGAAGAAGAAGTCCTCGAATCTCGAATCTCGGCATCACACATACGCACCGTGCACTCAACCTCCCCGCCACGCCCCTCCACCTGCCGCCCTCCCTTTTCGAAGCTGCATGCTCTGCGCACACACGAAAAGTTTTCATTTCCCGGCCCACGGAAACCCAGTGCAGAGTACCTGCGTGTGTGCAGATGACAATGTTGCTTTCCGGCTGCCAAAGTGGGCGGCCAAAGGGGGAGTGGCAGTGGGAGTGGCAGAGGGGGAAAGGGGGAGAGGGGGGAAAGGCACTCTCCGAGTGTAAACTAAATTGAGTTAGCACTGAATTGGGCAATGAGCAGGGGACTCGGAACGCGGGGCAGGCTCTGCCTCCGAGCGGACTCGCCTCAATTGCGGCTCTTGCAAATTAAATCTGGGTCGCCTTAATAGGGAAATAAGTCGTAGTTTAGCTGGAGTTTGCATACGAGCATTTGGCAGACCTTCCGCTCTGAGCCGACTTTCCTCAAGGCTGATTATCTCGGGTGAGTTTACCACCCCGCTATCAGATTATTTGTTTTGGATCTTGCACTGAACTCCCGTCTTGTCTTCCCGCAGGTGAGCACCTTTCCCATCGATTTGG